GCTACAACGTAAGTTCAGGCGCATATATGCCTCGTTCGAAGTTATCATACCTCATTAACACAACAAGATGAACACCGAATTCGTAGAAAAAGTGAATTCAGCGGGGTAATATAGAAAAGAAAGATTGCATATAAGGATAAGGATATGAAGCGATTTTATTCTCATAGTTTAAGAGAATAAATAGTTCAGAAATTCAGACATTCACTTGAGATTCTGAGTCTGAGATAAATAACCTAGTAGTATGACTGTTCGTTAATTAAAGTCGTTATAATGTAGTATAAGGAAGTTTATTGACATATGTCAATGAATTGTGGTAACTCAGGGTGTTATTAGTTTGAATAATTTTTTCTGGTTAGCGTATTTTTAGCGAGTTATTTTTCTACTGGATGGAGACGCTAACCACATGCCCAACCCTCCTCCTTTATCCGGGCTTGGGACCGGCAGTAGCCCCAGTAGGGACTCCAGGATTTTGATAGCGTGAACAGAACAACACTATGGAAACTTCTTCGACACTACGGCGTGCCTCAGAAGATAGTCAATATCATACTGAGTTCATATGATGGATTACACTGCAAAATCGTGCATGGAGGACAGTTGACAAAGTCGTTCGAAGTGAAGACCGGTGTTAGGCAAGGTTGCTTACTCTCACCCTTTCTCTTTCTCCTGGTGATCGACTGGATCATGAAGACGTCAACATCTGAAGGAAAGCACGGGATACAATGAACATCTAGGATGCAGTTGGACGATCTGGACTTCGCAGATGATCTGGTCCTTCTATCCCAAACGCAACAACAAATGCAGGAGAAGACGAAAAGTGTAGCAGCAGCTTTAGCAGCAGTAGGTCTCAATATACACATAAGGAAAAGCAGGATTCTTCGATACAACACAGAATGCACCATTCCAATCACAATTGACGGAGAAGATTTGGAAGATGTAAAAACCTTTACATATCTGGGCAGCATCATTGATGAACAGGGTGGATCTGATGCAGATGTGGATCGGCAAAGCGAAAGCAGCATATTTACAACTGAGGAACATCTGGAACTCAAAGCAACTGTCAACTAACACCAAGGTCAGGATTTTCAATACAAATGTCAAGACTATTCTACTGTATGGGGCGGAAACCTGGAGAACTACGGAAGCCATCATCCAGAAGATACAGGTGTTTATTAACAGTTGTCTACACAAAATACTTCAGATCCGTTGGCCGGACACTATTAGCAACAACGTACTATGGAAGAGAACAAACCACGTGCCAGCGGAGGAAGAAATCAGGAAGAAGCGCTGGAAGTTGAAAGGACACACATTGAGAAAAGCACCCAACTGCGTCACAAGACAAGCCCTCACATGGAATACTCAAGGCCAAAAGAAAACAGGAAGACCAAAGAACACATTACGCCGAGAAATGGAAATAGACATGAAAAAGATGAATAAGAATTGGATGGAATTAGAAAAGGAACTCAGTATGATATTGACTATCTTCTGAGGCACGCCGTAGTGTCGAAGAAGTTTCCATAGTGTTGTTCTGTCCACGCTATCAAAATCCTGGAGTCCCTACTGGGGCTACTGCCGGTCCCAAGCCCGGATAAAGGAGGAGGGTTGGGCATGTGGTTAGCGTCTCCATCCAGTAGAAAAATAACTCGCTAAAAATACGCTAACCAGAAAAAATTATTCAAACTAATAACACCCTGAGTTACCACAATTCATTGACATATGTCAATAAACTTCCTTATACTACATTATAACGACTTTAATTAACGAACAGTCATACTACTAGGTTATTTATCTCAGACTCAGAATCTCAAGTGAATGTCTGAATTTCTGAACTATTTATTCTCTTAAACTATGAGAATAAAATCGCTTCATATCCTTATCCTTATATGCAATCTTTCTTTTCTATATTACCCCGCTGAATTCACTTTTTCTACGAATTCGGTGTTCATCTTGTTGTGTTAATGAGGTATGATAACTTCGAACGAGGCATATATGCGCCTGAACTTACGTTGTAGCTGACTGACTGACTGACGGACTGACTGACTGATTCCTTCATAGCTCGGATAAAGTAATACATCTCTCATATCATACTAAATGTTAGTGGAAACAATCTAGTAGTACTTGTCAAAAAATGATCATAGACAGAATGTTAAACTAATTTAGTCGGTTGAAGCATATTTTTACTCAAAAGAAATGAAACTTCAATTTTGATGAAATTCAGATGAAGAAATACCTATACTAATATTCACCTATTTCATTACGCCTGTTAGCACTGGGGGAGGAGCATAAATCACTCATGAGTATTCTCTATCCAGCTATGTCTTGAACAATGCATTCCACTACTTTCCAGTTCCTATTCATCTTCCAAATGTGTGCTTCCGTTTCTCGACGCAGTAAGTGATTGTGTCCTTCACTTATCTGTTCCTCTTCAAGATTCCATGTTACCGCCGGCCTTATGACGCAGTTTGATGGTTTCCTTGATCTATACGCAAATCACTTTCATCATCTTTCCATAAATTCTCCATCTAGTAGCTGGTTCGTTCTCTTACACATTAGGTTGTTGCTGATGGTATGTGTTCAAAGGAGATTGAGCATCATGTGTAGATAATTTTTAAAAACTACTTGTATAATTTTATAGTGATCGTAGTAGTTTTCGGACATTCCTAACAGTTGTTTTGAGTTCCACATATTCTTTGATTGTAGGAATGCTACCCTTGCTTTGCTAATCCTCGCGTTTTGGTGTGCATCGGATCCTCCTTGATCGTCGATGATGCTGTCCGTGTTGAAAATATGGGTAGTTCAACACATATATAACATTAGTCTAAACTAGGTATACATTAGTGTAAACTATATATATTTATATATATACATACTCAGAAATAAAATATTATTATAAACGAACCTTGGTTTCTAATCTTTTTTCTTATGACAAACATATTTCTCACCATTCATTCTTCTACTTATCTATAAGCAAACAAATTCAGATTGAGTAGATTGTTCCAGTCAAGGTTAATAGAACAAAATTATCTTCTGGATTTGTGTAATGAGTCTCCAAATATGAATACATTGTTTACTACAACTCCTAACTAGCAAACTCTTACAGTCATTAAAAGCTAAGCTAGGATCGTCCTTATGAATTAGGTTATATCCAAAGAGTTGTACCCCATGCAGATTTTATGGACTATCAAAGATCCATAAGAATAATACTCCACTAAGACCAGTGGTAGACCATGCAAATTCACCGACTTACAATCTAGCTAAATATTTAGCTAAGATTCTCAAACCATATGAAAAGCGGATTAATCATGAAATTAAAATCTCTATGGAATTCAAGAATTTAATTGATACCATCGATATAGAAGAAGATGAAATAATGGCAAGTTTTGATGTATTCATTAATGTACTATCAGTCGATTTATGGATATTATCAATGGTTGTTTAGAATCTGATTTAGGTTTTAATTTACGATGCCCATTAGATCCATCAGAGGTTATAAAATGCTTAGAATTATGTTTAAGATCTACCTTATTCATACTTCGAGGTTAACATTACAGACAGAAAGAGGGTACAGCAATGGGCTCACCAGTTTATCCGATTGTATCGAATTTATTCATGCATCCCCCAGAAACTAGTGCAGTTTCTCACACACACATATATACCTACCCACTCACACACATACAATTTGTTACTCAGTTAGGTATTTTCATGCAGTTGATTTCTCCAAATGATTTCTAGTTAACTGACTCATTTTTCCTATTTTACAAAAAATCACATACAAATATGATGGTTTAACACAGTATAATCATGGTTGGTAAAAAGCTATATATTTCTTTGATAATTTTGATTTTGATTATTACCCTGAATAAGTCCAGACAAGTTGGCTGGACGAAACGTTGGAATTAGTTAAATTTCAATCGCTGGGAATATATCAAATATAATTTTCACATACAATGACTTCTCGAGACTCGGCGCTCAATTACTGTCAAACTATTCGCTCTAATCTTGACGAATATTCGTATAAATTGTTTACTATTATTCTTTCATATATGGAAGTTTTATTAAAATAATGATGATTATCATTATATTAATTTAATTGATTATTTTATACCATCCGCTAATGTTTTTTGTATTGAGAGACAAAACTAAAAGTAAACAAGCCATATGTTATTGCTGGCCTTATTCGTTTCACTATAAAATAGATTGAAGAACCTTTATTTGAACAAAGAATATGAATTTGTATTAAGTTTCGTTAGTTTCTCATCAGTTGCTCACAAAGTATAGTAATTAGTAATCTGTGGGGTCCTTTATTTAGAGGTCTGTTGCTCCGCACGATGTCGTCAATAGGCTCACCAATTAAGTGGCCCTATATCTGACTCTAATTTGATCGTTTGAATGATTGTTGTCAAAATCTAGATCATGGGAAACGTCGTATATAATTATCGACTTAAATCGCATTAGCGAATAACGGGATTTTCGAATTATTATATTTCGTACAATCATAGATCTGAACAGATATTCAAGAAATCTCAGCGAATGAGACGAGGAAGATAGACCAAAACGAAACGTAACAGTCTTGTCAAATTATTTGAGACTGTTCAAGTTTCGGAAAATGTTTTTAGACTTAATCAGAATCGATTATTAGTTTGAAAAAAATTCAGTCAGAATACTTTAGAGACAAAGCTCACAACTTTGACAAAAGGTCATACGCGCTGACACTAAATTTTCATCCTTATTATTGATTTGCTCCATCGGTTATGTAACTTTGATCATTTTATATAGTTGAGACCCTTTAGCTTTAAATATATAGTGATAAAGTTTATCAGTGTACGCTACTGTATCAACAATGAAGGTAATCGAAAATTAACTGAAATATGTATCTATTCCTGTTTTTGTGCTTTTTAGGCATATATAAATTTACACTAATTACCTTTCAACAAACATCTTACATAAAGAACAGTATCATAATGTTTACGACAATAATACCTATATAAACTGTGGTAACTTACATCAAGTACTGGGCAATAGTCATATTTTTCAAAACCTCCATAATATTTTCTTTCGTCTACCGGTACATCAAATGAGTTATCCATATACTGGAATTCAGGTTTCATTTCAACTCCATGTTTATACAGATCACAATATGCTCGTGCATTTTCAGAATACATACATGTTACTGTATAAGGTTTATCACAGAACGGCTCGATGTTTTGTCCTCTGGAAAACGAAAAATCTTATTTAACACTAAAATAAAAGAGTTATCAAAAAAGAAATTGGTGAACTTAAAAATTAATAAATTACTTAACCGTTGGAATCATAGGTAGATTAAAGCTAGATCACCATTGAAAACATGGAAGTACTGAACGGCCATTTCGTCCTAGTGTGCCATACCTCGACAGTGCACCCCTACGACTCCGTACATAGCACTCGAACCCAAGATATTCAGTTTAATTTTGAAGCAAACATCTTGTCTTCATTGTAGTTGCACATTTATTTACTCATGTAATAGAAGTTAAAGAATGTTTACACTGAGTAATTTGTTTAAAATAAAATTCAGCCGGTATCACGCAAAATTATTAATTTTATTCAGATGCCTTTTAGCGTCGTTTTAGCAAGCTCGATTCCGACGGGTTAGGGATGCTGACCAGATATCAAACCCTCTTTTTTCACCCAAGATTGAGACAGGCGCTAGACCTAGAAGATATACGGATGTACAAGAAGGTCAAAACGCCTTAGAAGCGCTAGAAACGTCTACGTAACTGCAAGCCATCATTGATGAACAACAAGGATCCGATACACACCCAAAGGCAAACATTAGCTAAACAAGCGCCCCATCCTTAAAACTGAAGAACATATGGAATTCAAAACAACTGTCAACTAATAGCAAATTCACAATCTTCAATACAAACACCATGAATCTCCTACTGTACCAAGCTGAAAGTTGGAGAACTACTGATATCATTATCAAATCGATACAAGTATTTCTAAACAATTAACTAGACAAGATATTCAATGACCAATGAGCACACACCATCAGCAACAACTTACTGTGTGAGAGAGCAAACCAGCTACCAGGTGAAGAGAAAATTGGGAAAATATGATGGGAGTGGATAACATATACATTGCGGAAACTGTCAGACTGCCTCACAAGGCAAGTGGTTGCATGGAACCATGAAGAGAAACGGATAATAGGGATACGCAACAACTTATTATATCAGGAATCGGAAGCAGACATGAAGAGGATGAATTGGAATTGTAAAGAGGTGGTCAAAGACGTATGTAAGTACGTTATTAAGTATTTTAGCACGTAGGTTAATATACATTGACTGCAATATCTAATATTACAACTGTAAGTTTAAAATTCACTAAATTCTTTTGGGTAATTACATACTACTTATAAAATTTTCAAAAACGACACAAAAATAAACTGTGTAGAAAACAAACGAAAAATGAAAAAAAATTTTTCTTTTTAAATTACCTTCTTTTTCTATTTTTAATAAATTCATAACAGCTTTTCATTACAAAATCACAACCTAAACCTTTTCCCCAATTGAATTCAGTGGCCGCAGTATAGTCGACATCATAAAAGCTTAAACAAAATGTAATTGAAATAGAAATCAATCAAATGATAATGAAGTAGAGGTTATGCATACAAATTTTCTTGTATTTTTAACTCCATTTATTTATTTATTTATTCATTATTTGTTATCGTTGGACCGATAAGTCCTGAGTTCGAGTATGCACTGTTGAGGAGTCCTAAATTAGGACGAAATGTCTGTCCAGTGTTTGCAGGATTTCTATAGTAGTCTATCTTAAATTGACTCATGAATTCAATCAATAAATTGTTATTTTATTGTTATAGTTTACATCCTCATAGTTAAATAATGATTCACTGTCTCGTCGTGAATATCAGTTCATTTTCATTTCTAATCATATTATTCATCATTTCTTAAGAATTCATGAAGCTAACATGAAGCCTCAAAATGCGTAAACTCGTTTTATCCTGGCAAGCAGTTTAGCGAAATTGTCCTGTACTTTTTTATTATTTCATAATCAGTTTTGATTTGACAAGTAATGCATTCGAAATTTCATATTGATTTTGGTTGGATAACTATTAGAAGCCAGGAAACATTGATCAGTTGTTTCGTTCAAGTATGAAGCTCCTTAGGGATCGGAATATATGATCATATATATGATTCATTCTGTTGTTATAGGCATTTTGACATATTCTTCATCCCCTCAGTTATAATGTTTGTTAAGGGTCTCAAAATTATATGCCAAGATCCTGTAGTCACGTATCGATCTGTCATCAATCCAATGTTAAAGTAATTCTTTGTTCAACTATGATTAGCGTTGTGCGCATGGCATCTCTGTGGCTTTCATATCTTAAATTATTTGCTAACACTGGGATCATATGAAAAATAAATATATATGGTCAGTCTGTAAAAGCGTTTTAAAGGATATTATAGGTTTTATTGAGTTGATAACAATAAATTGACCACCTTCACGCAAAGTGACAGGCGTAATTAAGTAAGTAAGTAAGTCAGTAAGAAAGTAAGTAAGTAAGTCAGTAAGTAAGTAAGTAAGTAAGTAAGTGAGTGAGTACATGTCATAAATCCAACTAGTTTTCGATTTCTCATTTCTACCATTTATTCAAAAGAATAATCATCGGAAGAGAGACCAAGTTAAATTGGCTATATTTATCACTGGCACCATAGTTGTCTAATCATATTAAATTCAAATAATTTGGTAAGGTCAAACTCGAGTATAACGCAATTTTACGAGTTCTACACAGACAAGCAAACCATAGGCAACCTACAATATCCATGAACGAGCTCAATACAACCCACTAGTGTAGATGCAGACAATTCATCTGTCTAATCCAACACAGACAAGAAATGAAATGCACCATAACAAATATCTATTAACAAATATCATAACTTCAATGATATTTTAACTATATACTATATCCAACTAGGCACAGACCTGGGTTTAATACATTCTGACACACTAACTTTAATTGTTTTATGGGCCACTAAACAGTCAGGGCTAATGAGACTTCCATAATACATGCAGCAGTTGACACCGTTGAATACTTCGTCCCCTACTGTCACATCAGGCACATATGTTTTTCGTTTCTCAACTAAATCATTTAAAACTGCATTTCATCAACGTGCTAACTAGGACTATGTTATACACATGCTATAAATAATTGAAAAATCTCTCTAATAAATGATCGACTGACGAATTTCAACCATGAAATAACCGGATAAAGAGGAACATTAATGAACATTATGCGATTTAGTCAGTCCATACGGTCTTTTCCTATATGTTCCAATTGCCTATTAACTACTTTTTACTCTTTTCAAAATCAGACAATATCATGAAATTTTGAGCTTCATAAATATGAGTTTCAGAGAAAACGTACGGCCATAATTTCGCAATAGCAGCTACATTTTACTTAACACGTAGAAACAGGATGACATAATTAGTCAGTGGATTTTTGTGGTAACATGGAATCCTAAAGAGGAATAGAAAAGAGTCAGATCCATTAACTTGTTGTGTCAGGGATAGGTAGCAGTCATGAAAAGAATAAATAGCAACTGGAAAGTAGTGGAATGGATTGTTCAGGGCAGTGTTGAATGGAGAATGCTTGTGGGTATGCTGTGCACATACATAAGGGGTAATGGGAGTAAGTAACAAATTATGAAGTACATCTTATTTTCGCAGGAAAATTCTACGAACAATCCAGTTAAATGCCTAAGTACATATTTATGTTTTATTATTAACATTAATAAATAAAAGTTTCCACAGATTGTGTTTTCTCAATATAATTAAAGTCAAAATTTATCAATAATTCTTGGGTTGCATAAGTTAATAGTCGTTGTCTTTCGATCACCGACGCAGTCATGTGGTGCTTGAACGAACTAATGATACTTTTGTACTTGTGGATTGCACGATATCGAATTCCAAATACAGTACATTCGCTTGTGCTTGTGTATTATTTCTTAATTCAGTTGCGTTATCTCTGGGACCCTTATTTTGTACTATAATTCAAATGATTGGAAACATTATACTGGATACACGATGGAGCTAGCAATGGAAAAGTTGGATATTCACTCAACTTCGGAAGCTTTTGAAGATTATTTGGAAAAATTTGAAATCAGGAAAATGATTTAGAAAGATGTTAAAAGTGATAAAATTGTGGCACTTTTCCTGACATTCATTGGAAAAGAAGCGTACAGCCTAATAAAAACTTTGGCATATCCAGAAAAACCCATCTCACTTACTTATGCCACTCTTTAGAAGCTATTATTAAATAATGTAAAGGGCACTAGTATTGAATGCCGTGAAAGGGCGAAATTTTATAAGATGGTTTGTCAGAATGACTCAAAAGTTCGGCAATTCACCCTTAAATTGCAGAAACAAGGTGACAAACTTCTAAAGATCAATCTTCATGTATTTTAACAACAATTAACACTCCTTTTGGTCTTTTCAAATACGATTTCCTTCCATTTCGTCCAAGTTGTTCTCCAGCCATTTTTCAGGAAGTTATGAATGAAGTATTTAATGATCCTGAAGGTGTTGAAGTTAGTCAAGATCATTTCATTGTTCATCTGTGTGAAAATGCAGTTCATGACCAGATACGTATTTGTTCATCGCGTCATTTAATTGAGAAAAGTGTTCTCGTGAATCCAAATAAGTGTTCATTTTTTGTATCTAGTTTTGAATGCCTTGGATTCCTAATTGATGGTAATGGTTTTAGACCAGATATGAAACGACTAGCTCCACTGACGAATGCACAGTCTCCAAAAGATTGCGAATTTGCTATTAGTTGACAGTTGTTTTGAATTCCATATGTACTTCAGTTTTAAGGATGCGGCGCTTCTTTAACTAATGTTTGCCTTTGGGTGTGTATCGGATCCTTCTTGTTCGTCGATGATGCTGTACAGATAAGTGAAACATTTCATATATTCCACAGCTTGTACAAGAAGTGTGATTGTGTTGGTGTTCTGCATGTCGTATTTGTAGATTTCGCCATTCACATTAGTTTCGTCTAGTCATTCCATGTCGTTTCATGATATCTTCATAACACATGTTGTCTATTTCGTCTTCGACGTTCAGTTCTCACAGAAAAATGGTCACGTCCCGTCCTAGCGATTTCGCT